CTTCACCGACAAATCCAAAATCTGCGATAAGTATACGATTATATACGATATCTGTACAAACACAAATTCGAATTTGACCGAGGGCGGTACGCGTTAATCCATTGATCGATAATCCGTAACAAGACCGTGATGATTAATCAGCGATCACCGAATGGTATATATTTGGTAAATCCGCGTGTACCGCGATACGGATACGACGGTGTTTGTCGAGAGAATTCCGCCGAGCGGAATGTATCGAACAGCGACCGACCCGGAATGTATCGAGCAGCGACCAAACTGATCGATACGCAATAAGCCCCGGTTGCGAGTAGCTATCGAGGGAAAGATTAGGCGTTCAACGTGGGTCACTGGTGATAGAGAGACTAATCCCATGGACTTAGCGCAGACTCGTGCGAACTACGGGATAAGGTGACAGTAGATAAGAGAAAAACCACGATTAAGAGACGTCAATCGGTCGAGAAACGTCTTAACGCGTTTCCGTCAATTCCGTTTATATTCGTCGTTGAATACTCGTTCGATATCGAATAACACATCTTCGAGTTTTCTAAAAATAGTGCAGTAAGTATTTAGTCGGTAATTAATTCACGATGTCTTTCTTGTTGCCGGAAAAAGTTCAAAACATACATGGAACGTTACACTCGATTAACGGACAATAACGAAAAGCGAATAAACGTAGAGGACTAATTTTCGTGGAAAATTACGGTACAGGAGCACGAGTCGATGAGATCGGGTACGAGGCTGCGTCGAGGTAAAAGGAAAAAAGAAACGCGGGACGTTCGATTCGCATAAAAAAAGCGTAGCTATGCATAATTTTTCCAGTCCAGGTTTTACGAGAACTCGTGCATTTTTAAAAGGCAATTTCAGCGCGCCGATTCCTCCGCCCCTCTTATTCCCTCTCACCCGCGGCGGCCTGACTTTTCTTTCAGAGAACGGTCATTTTGTTCGAGTAGACGTCGACCGTGGTCACGATCCATGACGAAGAAGCCCCGTAAGGAAATTTATGCGCATAGCCACGGAGCTGTATACTCACAGCAGCTACCGACTCGAACTCATGTCCGTGTGCCTGCGTGCGCGCGTCCGTCGACAGATATTCCGTAACACGCACGTTACAAAAGCCGACGTTTGCGACGCACGAGAGGAGATCAATGCGGATCAACCGCGGCTTCCAACAGGAAAAATCGCGTAATCGAGCCGAGCGAGAATCTCTACGTTTGCATCACGAATGTCATTTTTTCCCTCTCTTCTTTCTCGCGATGCGATTATTATATCGAAAGTAGAGTTAGAAGAGAACGTACAGATAAAGAGGCGCAGAAAGTATACGCAATTACGTTCGATATTGCATCCGTTCGTTACGATTCGGTCTAACCGCTGGACGTTACGTAACCGACACACCGAGTCGATCTCTCTAAACATTGGAAACAAATCGCTGCGTATTTCAGTCGGATATCACACGAAAAGCCAACATTCCTATCGTGAAATTGAACAGAACACGAGAACGGTAACGGGCGACACGGTGAGCGGTATACGACCAGAGAACGGTGCAACCGCAACATAGTAATACTACGCAAAAGCGAGAACGTTAATCCAAGGAGGCTGGACACGATTCTCCTTTGAAGCTTGGAAAAGCAAACAAACAAAGAAATTCCTTTCTATTTGGCCCCTAATTCAGTTCCCGATTCAGCGTCGAAAATAGCTAACGGCCACAGGGAATCATTCCTATCCGGCAGTACGCTTCTGCTCCGTGTCGCTCGTGTGCCGTATAACAGCGGACGCGAGCCACATGCGCCGTGGACAACGCAGTCGGCGTTCCCCCTCCCCACCATCTAGTGGGCGGAGCCACGGCTCCCCACCACGCGCTGCTTTCCCCTACGACCCCTCCGTCGCTCTCCCCACCAGGCGACCAACCGACCGTGCGACCGTGATCACCGACACAGACGCACCGGAGAAGTCGAGAGGGACGGAGGGATGGTTCGTGTCGCTCGAGAGTCCCCTTCTTTCCCGTGTCGTCCGCTTGCTGTCCTTTGGCACCGGGGATCCACGCCTTCCCACCTTCCCATTGGCTCGATCTGTCCCCGGGCAGTCTGGTGACACACGCCCATTCGCAATCGTTCTCCAGGAAACGCTGGCCAGGATCGACGCCGGCTCTTGGGGGCCTCCTCGGTGAAAATTCTTCGCGAGATTGCACGTATTTCAACGGCGTTTCGTCCGACATCCTTTGACCGCGCTGGTAATTACTGGTTTTCACGGGAGAGAACAGGGGAGTTAGAGGGAAGGATGGTGGCTAACTTATACGCTGAGAACACGGAATTTTATCGCGCAAACCGTCCTCCGGGCGGAAATTGGAAATTAGATTACTCGGGAAACAACTCGATGCTCGTACATCGAGCTCGCTACTGCTCTACAGGGTATCGTCGAGCAGATTGAGAAACGCGGACTCGAGAATAGCATTGGGTGGCTCTGCGAACTATGCTCGGATAACTCTTGACCGACGGTCTATACATAGTGTATAGTTTACTCCCTAAACGTATCGCGTAATGTCGGGCCATGAATAAAGAACGTTTGTTCTGCATTTACATATCGAAGAGATGAACGTAATCTTAGACACTCACTCTTCGTGAAACAGTGTATCATTTCAGAAGCTGATTCTATCATAGTATTGACAAATTTTCTAAATTTTTATTCTAGAAATATAATATACCTATTCATTCTCAAATAATAAATCTTTAATCATAATTATTGAAATTATTCAAATTTATTTTTCATCGAATTAAAAAAAAATAAATAAATAAAAAACATTTTCATAAGATAACCGAGTAACGATGCCGTTAATATAATGTAACAAAAAAAAAAGCAACGTCTAAATTCGCATTGGGCCCGGAAATAGGTCTAATTTTCCGAGGATCTCCGTTACAGCTGGCCGTATCACCGCCTAACCTAAACAAGCCGGTAATCGATGTACGCGTTTGACGTGGGCTTGTTTTTCTTTGCCCTACGATACCCATGTTGCCCCGTCGTTCCCCTCCCAGCCAACGATCGGACAGCTGGGAAGCGTGGCCCGGTTGCGTAACGAGGAGCCGCTCTCCCCGGCCCGTGAAATATCATCGTTTTCGCTCGACTCGTTGATTATCGCGCGGGAAACCGCGCGTTATCATCGGGCACTCGGGCAGAAACGCGGCTGAAAAATCGGCAGCTACGTTTTAAAGGTCGCGGACGATCTCATGCCGCACATTTTTCGATCCCGATATGTCACTGTCAAGTGGTATCGGCTAAGCTGACGTGTTTCAAACGTCGTGGATTTTTCCTTTTTGCGTCACTGTTTCAAAGAGATAAATCTCGTTGAGTGACTGGAATATGTTATTGCGTTAAATTATGGAAGACTCGCGTTTGTTATTTATTAAAGTGGCAAATTTTGAAATATGCGTTAGCTTGAAAAAGGGAATTGTTAATAAATTTTTTACGTTAATTCTTCTATATATATAAAACTCGAGATTGTTGAACAAGACGGTGACTCTGTTCTTTATCAAGTACACGTGGTTAAATGTTTATCAGAAAAAAAAAAATGAAACAACGTACGAACGTAGCAGAAGAAAGATGCAATTGCGATAACGACAATGGAAATTGAATTCTCTCACCAGTCATCCTGCTGTGAAGCTGCATACGCATAGGTACGTGGACTATTGTACGATCGAAAGAAGGGAGTCGAGGATCTTGTCTCCTTTGTCTCGAAACCGGGGCGCAGGTAAAGACGCATACGTTACTTGCCAATAAGGTATTTAGGTATAGTTGAGAATGCACGGAAAATCTAATCTATAAGTAAAAAAAAAAAAAAAGGAAGAAAGAAAAAACGAATTAATAATTGAACGGATTAAAAAAGATTGCATAGATTTAATTTTTAAATATCTAATATCGCAAAATTGAAAAGGACGATTGAATTTTTTCGTGCCTTCTTTGTCTAATTGTGTAACGGTCGTACGAGTCTTGACGACTACTTAACGTGGGTTAAGCTCCCATCCACTATGTTGCCGAGCGATCCTCGGTGATCTAGTTAGCAAAATTGGAATTGAAAGCGTGACTGTTCGACATTACGATAATTTATCACTCAAATAAATGTTCGCTCGTGGTGTTCAGCCGTGTACAAGTATCAATTTACATGACGCAACGGATACGTAATCTGATATATCGTGTAACGGCGCGCACAGAATCGCGAATGGCGGTTCTCATCGAAATAGACGCTGAGGGTAACGTAGAATCGAAAATGATAAATTTCCATCTTTTCGTGCCACAATTGTAGGTACTTTCCTTATCGACTACTCGCGTCGAATATTCGCCGCAATGTTATTTTTAATGCGTTCGCATTCGTATGGAACGATGTATGATGACTGATTTTATTTATTCTTTGTTATTTTGTTACATGTCATAGACATTATATGCCAATAGAGCAAACAATATAACAAATAATGATAAATAAATTGCTTTAAATTAACAAATTCATTACGTATCGTACAATGGAACGAACAATAAAGCATAAAGTATTGGTAAATTGCATTAAATTAATTTAGGTATTTGATATTTATTAATACTTGTCTATCTCTCATTTATTTCGAGCAAATTGGTATTTTCTTTGTCACATATAAATGACACTTTAATGGAATAAGAGTGTTTATTAATCTTTCAAATTCAATTTTTTTTCTTTTTTTTGGTTATGTTAGCAACACTCAATGAATAATTATACACAGAGAAACTTGTCAAATGAAATAATATTGATTTGTTACGTACAATTTAGTATGTTTCAAATATAAAGTCTATCATTTATCAAAATTAGAATTTATTTTTTTCAAATATATATTTTTATTTAACTTTTACTTTTAAACGCTCTTAATATAATAGGTATCTACACTAAAATTGATTAATTTAAAAATAAAAGAAGTCTATAGATTAATAAAAGTCGATAAGAATCATAATACTATAAAAAAATAAAAATCATTACATACCAGATATGTAGTTTAACAAAAATGACAGCCGAATCCACTATATGCTCTGAAGTTGCGCATAATCGAACTTTTTTATCGACATAGGTCGATTAGTTAATTGTAATATTGCAACTGCAGCGCTATGCTAGTTCAAATCTCGCCCTAAGTAGCTCGAATCGTCTCGTTGCAAAAGTGTCTGCGTCTTATTTATATTCGTTATTACTTTTTTTTGTAGTGAGATTACGTATTGTTAGTGAAAACATCTCAGAAGTACGTAAAAATGCGAATAAAAAAACGAGATAAAGAAAGAGGTAAGCGAATTATCCAACTGATATTTTCAATCTACGTTCTTCGTAATAAACAGGATAATCAAAAGCATACAGAAATAGATCATAAAAACTACTCGAAAACGTTTAGATTTATATTTACTTACGTTTCAAAAGAATTAGACTAGCAGTAACGAAAAGAACAAAAAAAGAAATCAGGTTTGGAGAGGTTAGACAGGTTCGAAGAACGTTCGTTTAAAGAGATACGGTTTGTCGAGGGACGGTAAATGGGCGAAAACGCGGCGGAGAACGCGTAGACACATCGCGAGAAGAAGTAGTAAACCGTGAATAGAAGTGCACTGGTAGATTCAACAAAAGGTGAACCCACAAAGTGGGTCTAGCTGTGTAGGTCTACGGAAGGCGGGAGGCAACCGGCCAACTCCGTAGGTAGAGGAGATATATCGGAGCTCGGGCGTATTCGGGCAGGCTCGTGCGTTCCCGCTAGCTGGTGGTGGCCGCGCACCTCCGCCAAGTTTCACGCTGCGTGGAACGAAACTCGTACGCGATCAGCTCGACCGAGGCAATCCGGCATCCTTACGTATGCTCGTTGCGTTCTTGACCGATATGGTGTTTTTTCCCCGTAATTCGTGACCCTGATCGCGAGATAGCGTCGATCGCGATAGATAAAACCGGGTATCGCGTCAAGAGAGTCAGGTTCGATCCCCGGACGGTTCGACCCCCTCTTGTGTGATTGAACGAGAGCAAGCACGTCGGTTGCCGCTGGATTCTCGAGGCAGTGTACCGTAAAAAGTTCGCGGAACACGGTGAAAACGCGAGTCGTCCGTTCTCGCGCGTACGTATATCGGTGCTTCACGCTCGACGACGTCTTGTCGTCTCTCGTTGTCGGAGAGGGAGAAAAAGAGAAAGAAGAGAAGCTCTGAAGCGTGTCTGCATCGTGGACACTTGGCTCGTTCGCTCGCGCCAAGAACCAGCTGGAAGTGACAACCCTCCGGAGAAAATCTATCTCTCCTTCGTTTATCGACGCTCAATAGAAATCGTGCGACTCGTACGAGCGACACTCGACGAATGACGAGAAGGAAAGGGCCCCCAATAGGGCCAGGTAACGATCCGACCGAAGGAAAATCGGAGTCGTAGGCGGGGCCTAAGGTCGGGGACACGTGACACGGAAACTGTCACGCCGCCCTTGTCCTCCCCTCCTTCACCCCCTCCACTCGACCGAAAAGCACCGAGCCAACTATACGAGCGCTGCTTCTACCAACCGACAGCGTGCCGCTGAACGCTTCTGTTCGCTCCTCGATTCTTCGCTTCTTTATTTCGTTGTGCTCGACTGATCAATTTTTTCATGCTGGATACGTACAAGCGCACGCTTCACGATCACTTATGATGATGATGATGATGATGCTCCTCTAAGAATATATTATATTTAAACGACGCCATATCATTTTTACATGCTCATCACTCTTGGAACTTTGAATCTTCAATTTTAAAGATTTATAAATAGGAAATACAACGATACAAATGTGATATTAGAAAAATTTTCAACGAATTTTTTTTTTTCATAATATTTCGTGACTCGAAAAAACGGAAATGGCAGTGATATCGTTAATAGTGTTTGAAATTTAACTCGTATTTGCCACGTATTTTTTCATCATCTGACCGCATGATATGAAGGACGATTATTAAAGATTATGATAAATTCGATCGTAACACGCGATCACGACACTTCTCGACGTACAACGTAATCAATTATTTAATCTTTTTCGACAGTACTGGTTCGCGATTGTTCTCGAATAATGCTCGTTCAATCCATCGATTGCCATAATACATTCGTGATCATATTTATGATTCGGCCGTTATTCGACGCGGTCGGATTCGCGGTTTGACGCGGGCCGCCGCGTCACAGTGGACATCCTTAGGATGCAGCAGGGTAGTGTAGGCGACGGGGACTCGGCCCCGAGAAATTCGCCGAAAAACTCGAACACGGGCGTCGCCGACGGTCGAGTTCGGGTTAAAGTCGAAGCGCCAGAGTCGACGGAACTGTTCGACGTTAAACGAGAAACCCAAGACGAATATCATGCCGTTCAACACGATTACCATTACGACAGGAAACCACCAATCGTTCCAACGAAGCTCGATGCAAATTCCGAAATTATCAATCAGTGTCAGCCGCCCCATCAAGGTTATCCACGGCCGGTAAACTCCGGGCTTCCGAATTCTTATGGGTTTTCACATTTCTATGGGCCATCGATGCTGCCCCCCTCGTTTCATGGCGCCAGACCATCTCCAGATCGGCCTATTGGGAAAATTGACGAGCATGAACACGAACAGGAACGTTACAGAGTGCCCGTGTCTGGTGTCGCTAGTGACAGTGTTTTTATGCACCACGATCCTCATAGATACGAGATTGGTGATTACCACGGGAAAGGATATTCTGGAATGGCTTATTCCGCGTTTCGATCATCAATGCAGCAGCGCGCACCGATGTACACCGGTCATCACAACAATAGTAGCTACAGGACCGCGCAGTATCAAAACAGAAAGCGCAAGTGGAGCGGCGCTGCGCTGCGCGGAATGCCGCCATCGATGCCTGTGAGTTCTACTTTTTTTTTCTGCGTTATTTTTTTTTATCATTTAAAAATCGACTTGATCTATAAGCATTTCTATTATGAAGTTACATATTATTTTTATCATATATCGTTTTTAACCTAAAAACGATTTATCGAGCTTTTATTAAAAATTTTAACGTTGTCAGCTTTCTAAAATTGTTTCTTAACGATAGTGATTTATATTCCGAGTGAATAGGGAATAACTGGGGAATGACTTTATCGATAGTTGTCGATACAATTTTTGCTAATTAACTAAAATCGATTATTTTAATTCTCAATTTTCGTCTCAAATTCTATCGTAATTCGTTAATATCGACACGCGGAAACGGTATCAGATTTTACTTGCAGATCATTTTTAATCGTATTTCGGTATTATTGAACGCCTCTTTTTCCTATTCGACCCATCGCAAACAAAAGCAACGTAAGAGATACTTCGCCGATATTTTGTTCTCGTCCAGCTTTCATTCCTCTCCCAAATAAAAGAATCGAATATTCTAGCGTCGGAAAAAAAAAAAAAGCAGGAGAAAGAGAGTGGCGCGTTAACTCGGATCAAGGACGGAATCGTTGGAATCGGTCACGTCGCGTTATCGTCGCACGACCCGCGAAGACTGCCCGAAGTCTTTTCCCTTCCTTCTAATGAAATCGAATGAAAGTTGACGATCGAAAAAAGAAAAGGAAAAGGGGAAAAATTACGCCGGTCCACGCTCGAAATTACAGTGATTACACGCGGCGTGTCGGTTTGGCCCCTCGAGGCCCCAAGAATCGTGTTGCTCTCCACGACTCGAGGAGAGGAGGAGAGGCCCTTCATTCAGCGCGGGCCATGCAGCGATCAACGAGCGGGAAACGGCCCGCTCCGACCGATTATTATAATATCGGTGGATTAAAATAGATGCGCGTGTGGCGGGCGCGTTTCGATGGCGACTTCTTGTCTGGCGATCCACCACCAAACGCATTACGTATTCTATGGTTATATAATGTGTACGAACCGCGTGGTTACTTTACAAATTACGCCAACACCGGCTACCGCACGGCTTCGATTAATTCAAATTGCCCGCTCTTTTTTCTCCCCGGCTAATTGCGATCCACGAAATCCGCGTAACTCGAGGAGGGAACGTGACTGGGAAGTGGGTCGCGAATTAGACCCGCTGTTATCGGGTCAGCCTAACCGAACGTGAGGTCGGGACCAGTTTTAATACCAGTTATATACGAGATTTAAATCTAAAGCGTGTATCTGCAAGCAATGGATTCTACAGCTATTTTTTAATGCACGGGACAAGCTCTGATAATCGGTTTCCTAACACAAGATTTATCGAGATATAACGCAATAAGTTTCAACTCGTCTCCGCATCTAATCACATTCGATATAAGCAAGATCTAGCGCGAGAACACTGAAACTGTTTCCACCAACTTTAATTGGTCCCCGTTGTTTATCGCACGAGCTGACACAACCGGAGGCCTTACACCGGCCAAGAGGAATTACACGGCGAGGAGAACCGCTCCAGAAACGTAGGGGAGGACGTAAGGTAGAACTGTCTTCCGTTTTAAGCATCGTATGATCGCGGGATCGCGCCAAATCGGGACGGAGAGAGGCGCGACTCCAATATATCCTCTCTGGCCACTCGGTTTCCGCGCCGAAACCGTGGCCTTCTTCTTCTTCTTCTTCTCTCATCTGCATACCGTTTCCTCTCTCCAACGACCGTTCATCTTCCGCGGCGGGACGCACGCACCTGTATCGAGATAACGCGGCGTAACGTATACACCCGGGGCGAATAAGGGCATTGAATCGAAGCCGATCCCTTTCCACTTTCCTCGGCGAGGCCGCGGATTACCGCGGAATCGATCTATAAATTTCGCGTCGGGAAATGGCGCACCTGCGCCGTGGAGAAGAGAACAGAATCCCCGAATCGATCTCTCGATCGGCGTGGCATCGATCGAGCTGCGTGTCGTCGCGTGTGAGTTTTCTTTCGAGAAGATGGCTGTTGTGGAGATTTAAACGGTTTGGGCCGTTTATTTTCTAGGAAAAATAATTCTGAGAGGAATGTTGATTCTAGTCAGCAGCAGCTTCGAAATTCACTATTAATTAGCAGATGCAACTTTGTTCGTCGTGTCGTACACGTGATATCTGTCAATATTTAATTTTTGCTACCGGGAAACGTATTGTGCATAATTAAGCGAGATTCAATTATTATCCGTGGATAATTCTGGAGGATTAAAAGTTTGATGCGAGGAAAATATTCGTTCGCGTTATCGTTTGAGTTTCGTCCGTTACATGCGCTATATATCTATACACGTTTTTGGCTATTAGCTCGCTTTACCACCGATATTACCTCAACACTTCCTCGAGATATTACGAATGGGGAATATTAGACGCGTTTACTCTTACGGAGGAAGAAACTCTCGAATCTATGTACAATCATGCTATGTGCATACATTTACACGGGCATTGAAACGCGCAGCCGGTGTAACAACTTGTCAGTCGACGCGTACACCGAAAAGGTTAAAGGTTGGCTGAGATGAGTTATGCAGTCAATTGGAATCGATCACGGAGTCGTGGAGCATTACCGTTCTTCCTTATCGATCCCGTTACGGGCCACGGGACGCCCACTTAATAATTTCGTTGCGTTACATTCGATCCCAACTATTGTCCCGTCAATAAAGAGGATTATACGGAAGTAGGTGTAACAACTCGTCCGCCACGACAGTGCGCTCGTTTCTCTTACACCGATTATTTCCATAATCATATACGTTTAATTATGCGACTAACTGTAAAACATTGTGCCGCTGAATCGAACTTGATTCGCGTAATTAAACCATCTGGATCGTATGAATGTACGCTGAACGGTTCGAATCGATGTGTAAATAACAACAAAGAACGCCGATGCAATCACCTTGAATAAATCAAAGCGAGCTCGTTTCGTTTCCTAATAGGAAGTCACCGATTGATTCTTCGTAATATATGTGTTTCAGCGTGTACCAGAGATCATAGAGGACATCTCGTGATTCCACGAAACGTGTAAAAGTATACGGTGAGATAGATTTCGTTACGAGATACGGGAACACGGATAAGTACAACTTATCCGAGCCGGGGATACGTTATTTAGCCGATTTACAAATAACACGATCGATAGAGAGAAACAGGGAAAGAATTGCAGAGGCCCGAAGCGATTCCGCTCGCCAGATGCGTTTTACAAGCCGAGGGCCTGGAACGCGTTTTTCTACCTGGGCCCTCGTCCAATTGGCCGCACCAGCACATGGTGCTCAGTGACGCGCGATTCGTTTCGTTTCGTATCCATACGTGAAAACAAACCCATATCGAGTCGATGAGGAAAATATTTTTTTTCTAGTAATAGGCCTTTCAAAAGTAGAAAGTAAAAAGATGGATATGGATATTTATTTCGAAACACAGTGTACGGAAAAATACACAGAAATGTACAATTTTCTCAGTCTCGGAAACTTCGGAGACATCGGGAAAGATCGGGAAAATTCGGGATATATCGAGAATCTTGCCCGATTCTAGCCGAATTTTTCCGATCCATCCCGAATCTCTAACCGCAAGGAAGATATAACGTAGTTCGAAATAGAATCGCGAGACGATGACGTGTATTTATATCGGGTCCGAGGATAAATAAATTTGAATGTTTTGACAATACTGGACACTGGATCGATGCATCGAGAAAGAAACGAAGAGCTGGTCAACGATGTTTGAATACAGTTAGACAAGCATCTAATGCGTTGCGTGTGATAGATGATGATAGAGGTTAGGTATTAGGTAAGCGTTGTTCTCGAAGATGGATAGGGGAGGACTGATTCTTTAGTCCAGGGATATTGTACAAGTTTAATATTGTCGTTTGTTACACGCGGGGAGTTTTAAAGGGACGGGTAGTTGAGTAGGACACAGTCAATGGCGAGAGATTTATAGACTAATATGTACGCGTAACGACGTGGGGATAACATCACAATGGCGGGTAATATTTCGAAAAAATAAAACTGCCGTTCCTTTTATTTATATTCGTTAATCAGTTACTTTTGTCTGAAAGGAGCGTCTAACGAGGTGTTTGACAATGATAAAAAATTCATCGAATTAAGCTTGCACACGTGTAACAATACCATTCGTACTAAACGTCTATTTCATCGAAATAGATCGTACGTGGTGAAAATTAAACGAGTAGCGATCGAACTGCTTCGTTCCATAATTACTTATTCCTTTGGAAACAACCTGATCGCGATATAGTTAACGAACTACTTATGTCCACGGCAATTTTGTGCTTCGTATGGGCCGATTCACAAGCGGACCGTGATTCTGAGGCAAAAAACGTCTCCCGGCCCCCGAGTTCCATTGTGCCCGGCCTCCGGCGAAGGCTGCACGCTTTTCATCGTTAACAAGCATGCTAGACAACGTTTATTCACTGCCACTCTCCGCAGGGAGCAAATAGCGAACAACTTTCCTGCTCGTGACGATCGCCGGAAGAATCCGGAATTGCGAACCGAACTTTTCTGGCTCGTAAAGCGATTTAACTGCGCAGAAGCAAGCCTTGGAATGACGCGGGGAGACCCCTCAGACCACGAAAAAAGACGCACCGCGTGACTTTCCGTTTTTCAATGTAAATCACAGGGACTCCTGGAAACTTACTGCCGTAACTCGTAAGAATGTGGATAGCAGTTTATTTGTGGTTTTTCTTCTGTGGTTTCACTGTTTACAGTGGTTGTTTCCACGCGCCTCTCTTGTTTCATTTTTACAATCGCGCGAAATTTGAATTCGAAGAATTTCACTTTTGTTTCGCCGCAAGAATGGACGTATTATTTATCGTCGATTACGATTCAATCGATAATAAAAAGTATCGTTTCGCGCTCAATCACACGTAATTACGCGTAACGCAAATATTACTATGAAATTAGCCAGCGCACGGATGGATCAATGTCGTTTCCGTAATCGTCGACAACAAACGGGCCGCGACAAAAAACTGTGCGCGTCGTTGGCGCATC